CTAAAAATGCCTAAGATCCTTATAGATTTTAAAATTAGAAGAACGTTTTTAGTTATTTATTTTTATTGTTAAGATTAATATTTATACCAATATGTGACGGATTGTAAATAATAAATTTATTAAAAAAAAATTATATATCGTGTTAAATAAATTTTGTTAGTACAAAAATATATATTAAAAACACCATACTGTGTATTTTTTTGTACAATACAATCTTTTATGAATATTTCAAAATAAATATCATTTAAAGTTAGAATGAAATGAAAGTATAATTTTTGAAATGAAGTATAATGATGTATGGTGATTGATAGATAATTAAAACAATTTTGAATTTATAAATTAATATTACCTATGTATTGTATAATATATTTTTAAAACTTTGATATTCTTTAATAAAATCTATTATTTTTATACAAGTTTAAAGCACAATAATTGTAATAAAATTAAAACATCAGAATAATTTGTGTGTGCCGCATGACAAATACAGGGTCATCATTTAAATACTAATTACTTTCTATTTTAATTAATTTCAAATGTTTTCTTTGAGATTATTAAAGTGTCATTCATGGAAATTAAAAATGGAGAACTTCACGACTAAGCAACGTGTAAAAATTATCAAAAAAAAAACAATTATCAAGACGAAAAACCTAACAATAATCTAACAACGGGAACGGGAACGGGATGTAGAAGTAACCGTTTGATGTGGTAATAATCTGAGTGAGAAGAGTTCATGAATTTTGTTCATTCTGAAATAAACCAAGAAATATTATTATAAATAATGGTACACATATTAAAAACAGAGCAAAATTGTTACTGTATAAGGGTGTCATTTTCAAAACTAAATAAAATGTATTTCCAAGAAGAGTGATTTTAAATGAAAATTATTTGAAAGTGAAAAAGTTATTCCATTTTAAAATGGTCTTGTTCAGTGATTCCCAACCTTTTTTTGTGTAACATTTACATAATACGCCATACGGTTAAACTATAAACTTGTCCATTTTCCAATTGCTGCCAAATTGTCCCCTGTGGGGTGTGGACCACACGTTGGGAAATATTAGTCTACTGACTTTTGGGACCACCCTGTATTAGAATATTTCGTTGTTACCTTTTCTAAATGATATATACTTAATGCTTCCCTGCATACGATAACAGCTCGAACCGAAATCTAGATTGACATTTTTCTTTAATGTAGCAGATAACACACTATATGAAATGTATTGATTGGCATGTTTTGATTGTTGTTGTTGGCCGGATTTGTGGCGAATTTCAATTTTTCATATCATTTCGAAGCAACAGAGGATAAAAGGGGAGGCGAGATAAATCGGGTTTATCGAAAACTCGGCATTAAATTGAATATCGATCGTTGGATCCGTGCCAAGAGACTCGCCGCGAGAACTTCTTCTTCCTTTCTAAAAGTTATACACCCATATATATATATATATATATATACGAGCAGCAGGGTAATGGAACAAAACTTTGAAATGGCCCGGATCCCAACCAACCCTTAGCGGCCTCCAACCAAATGAAGCGGAGGCCGCCTGGGCTTGTTGTTTCCCGGGGATCTGTTCCTGGGGACCGAAGGCTCGAACGATCGGTGACGTCAACGGAAATCTGTGTATGTGTGTATCTATGTATGCGTGTCAGTATGGGGGCGGTTGGGTGGTTGCTGCGCCTCCTCCGCGGCAACGTCAGCTGCCGCCTCCACGCGATTGGTGTGTTTATAATTGATCCTAAATGTTTATACGGGAGCCCGGTAATTGCTGGGCTCACTTAGCATCCAAATTGATTTTAAAAGCAGCGGCACTGCTTTCGGAACCAAAATGACACCCCTAAGAATTATTTATGGAGGCTTATTCTCTCCAATTTAACCCACAACGGCTAACGATTTTACAACTTTAAATATTATCAAACCAAAGAAATCACTTTAAAATATTTACTATTTAATAAATTACATCAATGTTCAAATTAAAATTTGTAAATGTTTATTTTGTACATCAGAAATTTTGGTTCCACAAACACATTTAGTTTTTTTTTTAAATTTTAAATAAAATTTGCTTATATTTTTGGTTCCATTTAAACTTTTATATAGTTTAATATTACCCCATTGAAATGTAATGTTTCAACGAATTTTTGTAACATAATTATCAAAATTGAGAACTGTGAATTAAAAAAAAAGAAAGAATATCGATTCTGAAAATCATTCATATTCATCATACGAAATATTTATAACATAGATTTAAATTTCAACATTATTCAAATTGAAATCTATAAAGGTTGATTAAATTACATTACTAAGGCTTTTTGTTTTGTTTAGAATACAGTAAAACCATTTTTTGTGTGATAGTTAGGGACCGCATAAAAGAAATCGCAAAAAAAATATATTCGAAATTTTCATAAATTCTTACATATAATAAATAACTTTGTATAATACATTACAGATTGTTTTTTTACGATTTACGAAATACATGAGAAAGTGCATCCAAACAAAATAAATAATTAAATTACATATGGATTTTTTTTTTTTTAAACTTTTAATTTCTCATTGTACAAGCAAAGACATAAATAAGGTGTCAAAATGCACATACATAATTCGCTGCTACTCGTGTTAATCCAAAACGCGCATATTCTTGTGATGAATTGGTTCAAAATCGACTAACATAATTGTTTGAGCAGGTTGTGCATATGCACACTAATAGAAAACACGTTGGAATTGGTTGGATTTCATATACCGCATAAAAAAAGACCGCACAAAATCAGGTTCTACTGTATATATGTTGATCTATGTTAGTAATTCTTAATGTATTGTACCAAAAATGTTGAAATAAAACATTATAGCAGTAAATTGATTCTATAAATCTCACGAACAATATAATAAAAAAATATTAGAACAACCTTGAAATAACATAAAAAAGTATAACTTCAATTAATCTTAATTTTACACGTAAATTCTGACAACTTTTGTTCTAATATTTATAAATTTTAATATAATACGCTTCACAAATTGTATACATTTTCGACGTTATTTACAAATTCAATCATGTATCTGTTGTTTTTGTTTTGTATTTTTGTTTAGAAACCAAGGTGTTTTACAACACAAAAAACAATATTGCTATTCGTAACTATTATTAAGTCAGTATTTAGTAATGGTTAAATGTAAATAAATATAAAATATCTGCATATCTCTTGAAAATGTTTTAATCATATTAGATGATATTATTAGTTACATGTTTGCGAATTTGCAAAAAAATATACTAATAATGTTAACTGAGCAACAATAAGGTGTCAAGAATACGTAAATATCACATACGATAAGCAAATGTTTACATTCAAGAGTGAAATGAAAAATGAGATCTTCTTCATAATAACAATTAATAAATTATATACACTAAATAAAATAATTGTTTAGCTAATAGTACGAAACAAATTCACAACAAGGTTATATTGCAACTTTCTCAAATTGCATGTTAATTTTAGAAAATAAGCGGGAAAAATATTTGAAAATCTACAAAGAGCTCTTAAAAAGGGCTATTCACCACAAGGTTTTCTTATTAAGATATTAATTTGAGGATCTCTTGATTAAAAATATGTTATTTTTTTATTATTTAAATAATAAGAATTTAAAACTTTTTCAATTTTTTTAATATGTTTTTGTATCTTGGTTCACAATATCCATGATTTTTTATTTTTAAGATCAATAATTCAAGTTGTCAGTTTTTATTCATTGTTTTTGGATAATGACTACCAACTTTCTAATAATTCAACTATTATTTTAATAGGTATTATCTTCAGTTAAATACAGCTTTGATTAATTTTAGTATTTAGATTGTTAATTTGTTTTTGGATATATGTGTAATAAATTTATGTGTTACACTATAATATATAAGAATGAAATGTACTTTATTATGGTAAAATATTAAATTTGAAGTAAGTTAAAAGCAACTAGTTTTTTTTTAAATGATGTTATACTCTTTAAGTTACTAAGGAATTAAACTGTTGGTAATAGTGATGTTTAAGTGTAACAATTGTTTTAGTTTAAAGTTTTATGGGTGCGGTTCTCCGGAATTTATCACGTATAACCTAGAGAAAAAAAATCCTCCCCGGCTAAATATATGTTTGTGTGTTTGCGGTCAGGGATACAGAGTGGTTATTTGTTCGTTTTTCCACCCCTATACATATTGTTTTGCAACCCATTTTCCCTCCCCAACAGGTAGCGTCGGATTCGGTATGGCGACGTGCTCGGAAAAAAAAGAAGAAAATGCTGGAAAAACTAATTCGGTCGAGCGTATAATTTATTGGCGACAGACGTGTACCAATGGTGGCGGCCGGGGGCGGCAGCTGCTAAACGGGGGCGGGGCGCATGCGTCGTGACCCACGACCGCCTCCGCCAATGGCGCCCACCAGTTTCCTACCGCGATCAATATTCAAATTGAAATGGAAAATAAAAATAAATGACGAGAAAACGAAATAAACCAAAGAAGTGGTATATTTTTGTTCTGATTTATGATGATGACGACGATTAATATTCGGAATACTCTAAGAGGTTTCTATGATAAGATGCTGTTTTGATTATGGTTAAAGTAATTTGTTTCTATGGAATCAAAAGATATTTTAATGTGGTTTTGACGTTTCGAAGTGTCGTAAATCGTGCGTTCTTTTTTAATATATATTGTTTTCGTGAGAAAAGCCCTTTTGTCGCGGATACAGTGGACGAAGGTATCGAGAACAATACCACGAAGAAAGCTTTTAATGGGTGTCACAAATTTCTATGGGCGAAGAAATAAAGGGCGTCCCACCCGAAATTGGCAATTAAACGTTAATTATAGTTTCCCCGAGACTATAAAAAGAGCGGTTGTCGAAAATTTTCCAAAAGGGAAAATGCGCGGGGTTGGCCACGAAATACACACAACCCTCTTTCCACGCCTGGAAGCTCCGCCTGGTGGGTCAGAGCTCCGCCGACGCAGACGCGCGCAATTCTCTAAACTAGGTCACCTAGTGTGACCTTTCCAGCGAGCTTTCGGTCCAGAGCTTTAGACGTTCCACAGCCTCCAGAAGACTCGGCCCCGTCAGCAACCATGGCAAACTCCAGCAACTACAAACTCTCTGCCGCCACGGCCAACTTGAAATACACCGGTAAGTTACTAGGACCGTTACCAAAGAGCTTCCAAGAATCTCAATGATCAATCAACAAAGTACCATCAACATACCAACCTTACAATATATAAAATCAATAATTCCCAATTCGATCCAGACACCTTATTTTTCACCAACACACAAAAAAAAACACTTTAAAATCATCCTTGAAACTATAAAATATTAGTTAAATAATACTCAATAAATCAATACTTCTGATTATCGAACTAAATTATTTATTGGAAATTAATTTAAAGATTACAATGATACAGATTCAGCGATTATTGCTTTATTCGCGTACACGAAACAAACTGACGTACTAATTATTGAAATCATCTCGTAAGCAAATGGAATAACATTTATCTTCCAACTCCGCTTGAAGTATAAATTTGAATTAGTACAACTTAGAAATAAACTAATTGTAAATGTCAATATGACACCAATCTTTCCACGGAGAGAGAAAAATGACACAATGTTTAAATGTTGCGGGTTTCGAATAATATTGCACAATGGTATATTTAGTTGGTGTGTTTATTTGCTTTTGCGGTCATATGATCGTGATGCATCGGTAAATTAATAATTCCTTCAAAAAAAATATACATTTTCTGATTGTAAATTGAAATAGTAAATAAATTCCTTGAAATTTAATTAAATAATATTTTAACATTTATATTTCAATGTATTTGAAAATGAATGAATCAATAAATATGAAATACACATTTTACTACGTACGCATTGGTATGACCAAATGATTATTTTTTTGAAATTTATCAATAAATTATTTATCAATTAATAATGTTTTATAAATTTATTTATCATTTGTGTTTCATTAAGTAAATATAACAACATTTTTAAAGAATAATATTTGTGCTCAGAAAGATCTATGATCAATATCACTTTGTAGTAGTTAAATTTTTGTTTTATTATGATTGTATGACAATGATTAATTTTGTTTTTTTTTAATTGTTTAATATTATTATTTATATTTGTTTAAAAATAAATATTCATTTTTTGCTACTATAAATAATGTATCATAATTTCAATTGAAATCATCTTATATTATTGTACAAAAAAAAAGAAAAATGTTGCCTCTTCTTATACGTATAGAATTTGACCGACGGTACGATTTTTCTGTTTCTGTAATTGATATTCAATATAGGCGGAAATGAACGAAATAATTACTTTGAAGCAATATTATACAAATATACAATATATCAGTGATCACAGACTTTCTGAAATTCTTGATTAACAAATTGAATAATAATAATATTTATTGCAACGATCATACTTGAATATATACAAATGAATACATATAAATCAAATCTTAATAATACAGAAAAATTGATACAAAAAGGTAACTTATAATAAATATTACTATTATTATTATTTATAATTGTTTAGAGAATAAATTAATTCAATACTGTTTTTTATTATAAAGCTTCTTAGTAACAATTATCTTTGTCACATTTTTCAATAAAATTGATTATTGATATTTTTTTTTAATAATAAAATAGTGAAACTAATACAATATATTTAATATAACAATTGTATAATCTTTTGAATGATTACTGTCAATCGCCCGGGTTAGTCTTTACAATGTTTCCAAAAAATGTAATTAAAGTATATATAAAATTAGTATTTTAATAGTTATTATATTAACAATTAATTAATTGGTCTTATTATGGTGATACGGTTGTTAGGTCATCAATTGAGGAATGGAAAATTTCCGAGGATTAATGTAGTTTACGTAAGATTATTTTATCTTGTATACTTGACATTTTCGATATGTCAGGTATTTGAAGCGCCATGTCTAAATGAATTCTAAAAATAAATATTAATAGTAATAATACGTTAGTAGTATTTAACCTAAGTATCATCTGAACTTCATAAGATAGTAGTGTACAAATGTTTAATGAATCAACATGACAAATAAAAGTTGTTATGAATGAATGTTATTATATATTATATTTAACTTCGTAATAGAATTTTAATTTAATTAAATCAAATAAAATGTAGATAAAGAAATTATGTTATCATTATTTTGATTACAAATTGTATACATATAAGATATCCACTAATAAATAATATTTGTAATTCTTAATTAATTTAATTGAACAAAATAAAAATAAATTACATAACATTAATACTACACATACAGTCAAGTTTTTTGGTGCGGTTTATTTTTTTGTATATATTTAGTTTCTCAATTAGTCCATTTTAAACAGGTCTGTGTGAGATATTACTTTATAGGTATTATCTTAAGTGTTTCAAAAAGTAATTATAAAAAGTTTAGTCCACTATGGGTTTCTGTTGAAACTTTCTGTAATAGTACATCTACTATACGTGATATAGGAAATATATATTTGTCAGGTGTACCAATTATTTTACAAATCTAGTGGTCTAATATCTGAACATATAACAATTTAAATGAAACTATGTCAGTAGTTAGGGCAATCATTTTTAATTATAATATCAATTATGCATAGTTAATTAGAAAATATATTGTTAATAATATTGAATAGTCTAGTTAAAAACTGATGTTCAAAATAAATAGTAAAGAAAAATTGACATTGAATTTCCCATATTACTTTATAAATACAATGAAACCTCGCTTAACGAGCATAATCCGTTCCAAAATTTCCGGATTTTTACTCGTATAGTGAATCAATTTTCCCCATATAAACTAATGTAATATACGATAATGCGTTCCATTTTGGAGTCATTTTTCTTACAATTTATTTTGCTCGTTAAGCGAAATGCTTGTTATGCGAGGTGCTCGTTAAGCGAGGTTCCACTATACTTGTATAAGTTACTTTTAATGTGATGAAACTCGTGTACATACTAATTATCTGCAGATGTAAAGATATATTCAGAAGGTTATACGATCAAAGAAAATATGAAATGACGAACAATTATAATTGCAAAGTTCAAGGCTCAAATGAAAAAAATCGTTGTTATGCATATTTGTAAGGGCACATTACTTCCGCATCGCCAATTCTATTTCTCGCAATTATTAAAAAGAAAATAGAGAAAGAGTAGGACAAAGGATGTGAAATATCTTCGTCCCTTCTTAGAGGATGAGCAAAAAACGACTTTTTAATCACGCGAAAAGGGTTCTGGAATTTGTTTGCTCTGCGCGGGAGGCGGAAATCAAATCGCGTTTATCAATGGTCCCCAGTGTGTACATAGGAATTAGAGCCCTTATTTGCTCTGAACGATGCGCCCCGCTGCGAAGTTGTCACTCTGAACTCACTCTCTCCCCAGGCCCCGTTTTCGGGGGGTGCATAAATAATAAATCGTCCGATTTAAAGCCCCACCCCAATTAAGGGATTACCTGGACCGCAGGGCAACACCTGTGCTCAGACGAGATTTACAACAGCTTCCCCCAATTTAGTCCATTGAGATTCACTGCCAACGAAAAATAGACACACTGTCTATAAATCAGAGCCAGTTTTATAATACTTCAACCCTCTATACGTGTGCGGCTCTTTTTTTTTTCTATTTGCGAATCCTCTGGGACCGTACTTTAAAGATCCTCGAGGGAGTTTCTTTCATAACTCACACCGCATATCTTCACTTTTTTATATTTAATATATGAAGACGTTATCTCGAAGATACATAGCTATTTATTTATACTTTTCCGTGATGTGCTACCATCTACTTGTACGCTTTTATCGAGTATGGATTTTGGATCAAAAAGCGTTGAAGTTGTTTAATGGATTTTTCTCGTACGCTGGTATAACTTTTGTCGGAGAACGGCTGCCACCGACGGCAACATCTGTGCTTAAGAGCGAAGGAGGTGGAGGCAAGTAACATTCGTTTCATCCCCCAAATGAATCAATACTGTATGAACATTAAATGCACGCTGCACAAAATTTGAACAATATATATGACCTACATTTCATAAAATAATCAATAGGATTGTAATTTTTGTTATACAATAATATTTTACTTATTTTCTTTTATTATTTCAAACTTTTTTGTCTGTAATTATTTATGTACTTTATATGTCTCAAAAAATATTAGTTATTTTACTCTGTGCAAAATCTTGTAAACAATTTTTGGTGTAATATATTACTAAGCGGTTGCATAACTATTCTGGATGTATAATAATATTTCCAATTTTCAAGATTTGAATTAACATTTTGTAAAATATATAGAAACAATTCAGAATTATAGATTTTTTTACTTTATTGAGTAATAATTGTAATAATATAATCTGCCTGAGTAACAGCAGATCTTTCATCACAACTTGTTTTTTTTTCTTCAAAATTTAACAATGAATGGTATAATATTGAATGAATATTGTCTAAATATATTACAGAATGAAAATTAATCAAAAATATTCTACTATCCTGATCAGTGAGGATTCGATCATGAGTTACAACGATCACTGCTTCATTTCATCAATTTAATTAATAATTTCAATACGGCGAGTTTTTTGCAATTTTAAATGTTACTTACCCAAAAATTTTCTGTCAGAATGCCGTGACCAGGATTCGAACCTGGGTTACTACGGCCACAACGTAGGGTCCTAACCACTAGACGATCACGGCTTAATTTCTTCAATTTCTTTGATATGTTTTATTTTGAGCGCATTCTATGCAATGTACATTGTTAATTACCCAAAAATATTTTGACAGAATGCCGTGACCAGGATTCGAACCTGGGTTACTACGGCCACAACGTAGGGTCCTAACCACTAGACGATCACGGCTCTATAAATCAGAATATGCACCTTAACTGGATCAATATAATTATTCTTTCCACCTGTCATCAAAACTTGGTGAAAGTAAAGAACTAGAGCAGAACAACATTCAGCAATAAACAAATTTTAAATTAATAGTAATATGTGCTCTAGTAGCCGTGATCGTCTAGTGGTTAGGACCCTACGTTGTGGCCGTAGTAACCCAGGTTCGAATCCTGGTCACGGCAATGTGAAAGCATTGTCACGGTAGAGTTTCTTTTTATTCTCCTACCAAGAAGAGAGATGTATATAA